ACACACTTATACATTAAAATTGAGATATTAGTTAGGAATATAAGCCATGGATTGTTTTTTTACATTTAATATACGTTTCTGAGATCAAGGAAATCAGTGCAGTTGCCAATTTTGTTCTTAGTTCTTTAAAAGATTTAAATACAAATAGTTTGATAAAATGAGGGATGTTTTCTAATTTAATGTATTAAATTAAACATGTATGTACATGTACATTTGACCCTCGCTCCTATCCCCTGTTGTGATCAATGATTCGTTAAAATGCAATGTCTTACGTCATGATTATCTCATCAATGTTACCTCAGGACTGATGCCACGAGGCATTATTTTCCACAAACGTTTCCACTGTCCCTTAGGCTCCGTATTCTACATCAACTGGCAATGCATTTATTGCCCTAAACCCTTCAACATTAGCCAGGAATTGAGCATATACTTCTCCGGCGTTACAATTTAAGCCTTTTTGTGGACAACGTAGTTTTTCTGGTGTAGTTTGCATGCAGATAATCCAAGCAGTCCAATCCATGATGACTGTCCTGGAAATACGATAGTAACAGTTCACATAAGCAATAAAAAGGTAGAATGTTCAAACCAATTATACGTTCCAATGTTGCAAAATAATACGTTTTGTGGAAGTTTGTAAACTTGCAAAGGTATATTTTACGCAAGATGAATTATATCTACAATTTCTACAAAGACTTCTGTTCATTTTTACCAAAATCTCTAATAATTAATAAACAAGACTACAGATGAAGCTTTTTTAAAGATTATTTATTTGCACGATCTCAGTCGCAATCCAGCTTTGTGGAAACAAGAAAGGATAAACTACTCACACAGTGGACCTTCAGAGATGCTCTGCTCGTGTCACACAGAAGATGATGTCTGATGGATACTTCAATAGGATAGACGGTCCATCAACGACAAGGATGGTGCATTTAATCGAGAAACACACTTGTGCTTGTGCATCATGGATAATTGTTTGTCTTTTTCACGTCCCAAACTAAAAACCTTTACAAACTGCAGGACATGACTTGCTGCACTGGTATTGTGTTTGTAATGGTTACAGCCCGATAGTACGAAGGTTCTCTAGTCCGAAGGGTCATTAGTCCAAAGGTTCGTTAGTCCGTAGGTTCAATAGTCCGAAGGTTCGATAATCCGAAGGTTCGATAGTCCGAAGGTCCCATTAGTCCGAAAATAGAATACGGTTAATTAATCCGAAGGTTCGATAGTCCGAATAGATGATAGGGTTCGATAGTCCGAATTGAGAAAAAGGTTCGATAGTCCGAATTGAGAATAAGGTTCGATTGTCTGAATGGGCAATACGGTTCGTCAGTATGACTCTTCGGACTATCGGACCTTACTGTTGATTCGGACTATCAGACCTTATTGTCGATTCGGACTATCGGACCTTACTGTCGATTCGGACCATCGGACCATCATAGAGTCTTTCGGACTATCGAACCTTATTGTCAATTCGGACTATCGAACCTTCGGACTATTGAACCTTATTTTCAAGCCCGCTGGAACAAACTTTTGCCAGGGGGTGCTGGAATTTCTAAAGGACGGACAAAATTAATGCGAACGTGGAGCGCAAAGCCCTTACGGCGTGGCATGGCCCCTAAAAGTTTTGGAATATGGATGCTCTGTGGTGCAATATGAGGCGAATTCTGGCCACTTTCATATGACTTTTTTAGCAAACGTTTTTTTGAGATTATTAAGACAATTTATTTCACTTTTTTGTTTAGAATATACTGTTGCTCTTATAACGTTTCTACTGTACTGAAAAGTCGAAAACCCTGTATTTTTATCTCCATTCTTTGTTCCATTTAATTCTGGACAAAGAATTGTATCATTATGCATGACATCGCATGTAAATATTATTGTTGCTAGGCTGCTTTCTTACATTTAGTAAATTCCGTCCTGTATGTTTTGTTTTATTTTCCGAGCCCTTACAGCGTCGGGCCACAGGGCAAGGGGCCTGCTTTAAGGCCCCTGAAAATGTTGGATTCTGGATGCACTGTGATGAAATATACTGAAGTATATACTTACACTTATAAAACCCGAAAGGGTGTTTTTTGGTTCAAGTTAAAACAAAATGGTTCCACTGGAAGCGGGTGAATTGTTCCACTGGAAGCGGGTGAATTTCTGTTCATAAAAATACTCACATAGGCCTAAACGATGTAGCTCTTGATATAGTTGCAGTGTTATTTGTTTGTTACAGGGAATGGCAAATATAAAAGACTAACAGACCAAATGCATCTTTATGTTTATGATCGGTAGGTGGCAAATTTGGGGCTAGGCAAGGATTTATCGGTCTACTGAGTTTTTATGAGAAAAAACTTGCAAAGGGTAACACATGAATAGCTTTTTTATTAAAACGAAACTACACTGGAACTAGTTTCAATGGAAGCCCGTCCCACTCCTATTAGGTTGGGATGTGTGTGAACTTTGATATTTGTTAATGTTGAGTACAGAATGCTAGCAACGTCAATGAAACTTTTAAATGAAAAGAAAAACCTTCAGGGGAAAGGTATGAACTTTGCCCCTATTGAAAGATCGAAAGAAAAAAATCGTGGCAAGCATAATCAACTTTGCCACCATTGTCATGGCCGAGGTTATTTTTTTCGGGTCAAAGCTTCCATCATGGCGGAAATATATCATAGACATGTCATGATTTTAGATACATTGAGAGAAATATCGATTCTGCACTGCCTGAAAATTTAGAAAATACCTCCTCCTGATATTTTACAGTATTACTTTGTGCTAGACGTTCTAAGCGCCGCGCTTAGCCGCGGCAAAACTAGAAACGAACAAAACGAAGGAGATATTTTTAGAGCAAGCATAATGTATAGCGCAGTGGCGCAATTTCAACGTCGTAGAAAACTGCTGGCTGGAACACATTTTTGCCCGGGAGTAGGGGGTGCTGAAGCATATTTCAGCACCCCAATCCAAAAAGTTGGGGGTGCTGCAGCACCCACAGCACCCCCCCGTTCCCGCGGGCTTGTTATTTTCGTTTCCGACTATTGAACCTTCGGAATGATTAACCTTATTCTAAATTCGGACTATCGAACCTTCGGATAAATAAACCTTCAGACTGATGAACCTTCGGATTAATGAACCTTCGGACTATCGCATCAAATGTTCGGATTAACGAACCTTATTTCATTTTCAGACTAACGAACCCCCCTTATCATGGAAATTTTGTGCATTTGAACTATCGAACCTTCGGACTAAAGAACCTTCGGACTATTGGACCTTCGGACTATCGAGCGGCCCCCGTTTGTAATACATTGTTAAAAGACGTACCATCACCATTTCCGGCCAATCTGTTAATCTATTTCAGGTTACCACGTTCCTTTCTGTCTGGCTCCTAACCCATACCTCATTACCCATTATATACAACACATATAAGAATGTTACGTCTTCCAGCTATAGTAAATGGTCAAAACAAATGGATGTGGTAAAGACCAAATTCAAGGAGCCGCACAATTTCACACAATTTATTTTCTGCGTGACAAATACCGTCATTGTAGCACTTTTGTCCATAATCAAAAATGCTTAGATTTTTCATGAAAATTTGAAAATAGTGACGTCACTGCAACAGCAAATCAGCTTATTGTTACTTAAATGTCACTGATTATATCACTCTTCAATTCCCCGACCCTCAAAATGTCAAATTAATTACTTGGAATCTCATCACAACGCTTCACGACCTTATTTTCTACAATTAATTACTGTACGAGCTCGGTAGTATATTGTGATGTCATTATTACGTCATAAAGTACCCTTCCTGTCATCTGATTTTTGGCATCCTACCCTATTTTTGATCGTAACACATTGGCAAAGCTTTGGTGAAAAAAATGGTGCTTTTAAATACCATGTAACGATCCTTAGCATTTTTGTTACTAATGTAGCTCGCTATAAGATGCCTCACTTTTCCGCTTATCTTTGGAACAAGTTTAAACATATTTATGATACTAATAATCAATTACAAAAACTCTTTTGGCATAGAATTTGAACTTTTCTCTCAAACTTAAAAACAACATCTCACAATACCACTTACTGTTTGCATGTTTAAACAAAGTGTCAATGTGACTACCCAAAATCCATGATTTTAGCCTAAAAAACATGTCTTTTGACCAAAAAAGGTTTTTTTTGACCCACAAAATCACCCTTAACTATATTCCATCCCCATGACATACCACTCAAATGAAAGAGCTTGCTGTCCCCTTTAATTTGATACCACATTTGTTGTTGTAATGCTTGTAGTTCTGAAGATTATTATCAATTTATATTTTTTTCATGTAATAATTAGATATGCCCTTCCCATCATCCAATTTTTTGCGTCCGTCTTTTTTTCGAAAAGGTATACCATGGAGATGCTTTGGTGAAAAAATTGTGCTTTTGTCCACTGTGTCACAATTTTTTCACTAAGGTACCTCACTACTAGACGCTCTGTGGTCCGATCTGAGGCAATTTTTGACCAGTGCAACCAACTTTTTGGGGGGTAAAACGATCATCAGTTTTACATTTTGGGGTTGAAATGGCGTGCAGAGGGGGATTTGGCTAGACATCATTAATATGAAGGTGATCTTCATTGCGACATCACTAGACATCTGACACTACGTGGCGCTATTCATGTGACGAATCACATTAAAATGGGAATCTCCTGACAAGATTAACCCTAACACAGGCCATTGACTTCACAAACAAAATTTGCAAACATTTAAGTGTTTTGGAGAGTGAAGCAAAGCAAGGGATATCTTGATGGTTCGTTATACCGACTGAAAAATGTCGACTGAAAAATTACCGGGGGTGGGTAAACCCTCTCCCTAGGTCCATTATGACCACACAGGAAAAATGTAAAGGAAATGAAAGCCTCCCTCTTTTTTTCCCCAGAATGCAAGATTTTGCTAACAAGGGCTTATCCTTACGAGATGACATTGACAAGTCAAAAATCGAGATTTATTGCAATAAGCTGCAAGACCAGATTGACAAAAACACAGTATTGTTTAATGCTTTTTCAGTCATTTATTTCAATTTGCACACACACCCTAGGAAAAAAACACCCTGAAATTATTCTATACTACCTGTATATATAATATTTTGTCAAAATAAATAGTCACGATTTATTTGTATACAAAATGTACAACACACTGGTGCTTAGCTCAAAACCTGAGTTTAAGGACATTTTTGTTCACTTATTCATTTCAACATGTAGGCCACACTTAGAAGAGTAAACTTGGCTCTTCAATGTAATAATATCACACACTTCGACATTCCATTGAAGTTGGACAATATGTGGATAAAAAATGTGTGACATTTTTACAAAGGCCTGTATCTCAAATGTAGCTTTGTGACTAATTAGAAATCGCTTCGTATGGTTGGGTCATATGCCAGATTTGAGGTCACTGCAGTCCGAAGCATTTTTAATAGACTTTTATTTATTTCTCAATATTTGAAGCTTCATCCTGCAAACAAAATTATCCCCAAAGGAAATTTTTCTTTTTCCAGAATTACATTAGGACACATATCTGCTGAAATTTGCTAGACCTTGAGAGTATATTTCGTCGGGTGCCTGGAAGAAGGTCGTAAGGGCAAAAAATGGGTCAAAAGGTCAAAGTCAGATTTTTCGGATAATCGATAGAGCTTGGAAATATTTTTCATTTGATAAACATACTGTTTCAAGGGGCTACGTATTCTGTAGTAATTAACAGTAAACAAAAGACGGAGGGCAGTTTTCATTATTTGTGCCCGGCAAAAGGACGTTAACGTGTAATACTAATGTAACAAAAAATGTTCGAAGCGAGCTAACTTCCCACTCAAGTGGGTACGCAAAGCCAATTTTGTTCCCGGCAAAAGGACGTAAGGATTTAACATGCTGCTTTAAAAACGTACGTTTAAGGCTTGGGAAGTTCACGGTAAAAGGACGTTAGCATGAAAATTGAAATAACTTAAGTAATTTTTTGACATAAAAATTTACAATATTATTGTAATTATTAACGAATGTCATCAGTCAAAATTTCAACCTTATGTGATTTTTAATCAAGAAATGGCAGCACAAAAACTTTCAACTCGATTATCTCCAAAAGTGCTTTTTGTGTGCCTGGCCTGCTAACGTCCTTTTCCTTGTCACACGACGATTTTATCCTTGGATGGAATGTGTTTCGTGCGTACACAGACCACGTGATCGAATCCTTCTGCGTAGTGGAATGGCCAACAAGGCGGTCGAGCCGCAGAGAAAGATGGCGGCAATGACGATCAGACTGAGGACGTAATCACCCGATATGTCGTACAAGATGCCTGGCAACAGGAGAAAAACGCAAGAGGGAAAAAGACTTGTCAACTCAGAGACGCGATAACACTACCAAACACATCTCAATTGTACATTTGCTCAATCGGTGTGATCTGTGCAGGATTTGTGCTATCACTCAACTGCGCAGAAATTTTGTCGTGCTCCTTAAACGTGGCACACTTTGATGTTTCCCCTGACTTTCCTCATATAGTGTTGCCAAACTTCTTTCTTGACGAACTTCAAATTCATTCAGTAATACATACTGGAACTTTTACCTTAATAATGCTCACTGTTGAACCTTTGCCAACAATTCCAGTGTCATCAAATTTAGCCCGACATTCAAAAACAGTGGCGTTCGGAAATTGGGCAAAAAATCAGCTGATTGTTCCATAACGTGGCGCACTTGACGAATCTCTGAAAATCTCAAGTTAACATTTAAGAATTTCTTTCAAGTTGAAAAATTCTGATAAACCATTATAATCTCCACTCACATACCCAACTTGAAATTTGTCAGAAAATTGTTTTATTATTTCTGGGCGCATTTTCAAAGGGTTCACTTTGAAATAAAATCGGAAAATCAAGCCAAAGTAAATTTCCCTGCTACCTTTGTAAGGGGTAGATAAACTCACAATATATGACAGGAATGCGAAATTTTTGCTCTAGGCAGGCGCTAGAGGCGAAAAATCAAAGTGCGCCACGTTATGAGACATCAACAATATTTCCATTTAAGAAATCTTGTGGAGGAAATGCAAGCTTTGCAAGGAATTATGGGTAGCTTACTGCTACAATCATGTATAGTGTCATCAAGGTCAGATCCAGAGCCAAATTTCTTGGGGGGGGGCGGAGGACTTAAGTATTTTTTTTTCAAAAAGGGGATTAAGAATATAGATTTGTGCGCTATTTCGGCATTTAATATTGAAACTAAAAGGTATGTGTAGCAGGCGCGGTTCTAAAGCCAATATATTTGGGGGGTTAGCAGGGTGGATCAAGAAATTGTGTTCATGTACCCGGTAGGCGTGCTGAAATGTAGACCCGTTATTTTCTCCGGACACGTGGGCTTCCGAAAATCAATTGGGGGGGGGGGGGGGGGGGGGGGGGGCTTGTGCCATATTCAATGGGGAGCGCTGATAAAATTCTACAATCAGGCACACTATATTAACTAAAAGTGTACAAATGCACCCTTCTCACAACTATTTATCTAGGGGAGACCATTCGCATGTATGTCACATTCTTACATTTTGCTAGTGTAATTTTTTTTTTTTATGGAATATTGTTTTTTTTTGGGGGGGGGGGGCTTTAGCTTTAGGCGAAAGAGATTAAAACTACGTTCGCGATGATTATAACGTGCCATTTCCATCGACTTTTCATCGACATTTCTTTGAAATTATGATTGAAATAAAATGACATTTTGTGAAAAAATCGTTACAAAATCAAATTTTGTGGAACACACTGTAAAAAAATCAGAAATTTCGTTGGGAAATCCAAAAAGTCGGATTTCCGATTAAAATCAGAAAAGTTTCATCTCTGAGTTGGACCTGATCGAGAGCCTTGGTTCAGTCGTCGGCGAAAGCTTATGTTTTTCTTTGTTTTGCGCTGGATTTCTAGTGCACGACCTCGTATGCGAATACAGATAATGTGTAGGCGGGGCCAATATGTGGAGTGTCCAATCACGCCTTGGTAAATCCTGACGTCATCAAATTATTTGCAGCTATTCGCCTTTTGCGAACGTTACAGAAACCACATTTTTTGTGCATTGGTGCTGTGTGCAGAGCCACACAACGTTTGTCATGTTTGTGTATGCATTATGTACAGTGCCACGTTGGCACCGCTATGCAAGTTTCCACGCAACTATCAACCAATAAGAAAACGACATTTATGGTCAGCTTAGGCTATTAGCATAATGAGCACCACCCCCAAAACCTCATATGGACGATCGATCCAAGGCTTTCGATCGGGTCCAACTGATTTGCATAAAATAGTGGCCGCATGAGGTCGCTGTTCGCGCTGTAATTTTTACATGCACTGCATATAGCGCGCGAGGATATGCCGCCGATTGATTACTGCGATTATAACGACGAGAGCCTTGACCAAGGCTAGCCTACAGACCTCTTTACACCTCATTGGCTCACTGCCACTTGTAAATGACACTTGCTAAGTCTCAACTGGGCTCAAAGTTTGTAATAGGATTACCCCGTAACGCCAATGAACGGACTAAATCTGGCCCACTGTGTAGGCCACATGCAACTCTGAATCGAATGAAAAGAATTATGTGTGCTCTGGGAAGAGAGGCCTGCCTTGTTTTGTTTTCAACTTGTCTACCACAGGAGGCGATGGGAACCAGTTTTGAAGTGAGCTTATTATTAATCACTACTGGCGCAGAAAGTCTCTTTACACACAGTGGCGCTCACATCGGTCCACCACAAAACTCAAATGAAAAATGAGATTCGAACAAGTGTGTGTCCTACCTGATAGAAGTCCACTAGCAAGGGTTCCAACACCCACCGGAAACATGAACAGGGTCAGGCTGCCGCTTGTTCCGTAGGTCTTGTGGAACAATTCTGTAGCGACTACCAGGGACGTACTATACACACCAGCACGCAAGAAGCCTGAAACTAATGACAGATCAAGAAACGAGAGCATGCAATTAGGGGAGAATGCAAAATTAACTCATGTGCTAACTCAAGGTTTACTTAAAGATGTTATGTGGGTATACGTGGGGGGGGGGGGGACGTCTCTTTAGTCCGAAGTCCCATTGGTCCGAAGTCCCATTGGTCCGAAGTCCCATTGGTCCGAAGTCCCATTGGTCCGAAGCCCCATTGGTCTGAAGTCCCATTGGTCCAAAGTCCCATTGGTCCGACGGTCCATTGGTCCGACATCCCATTGGTCCGAAGTCCCATTGGTCTGACGGCCCATTTCTCTATGTTCCATCGGTATAAATGTCCCATTGGTCCGAAGTCCCATTGGTCTGAAGTCCCATTGGTCTGAAGTCCCATTGGTCTGAAGTCCCATTGGTCTGAAGTCCCATTGGTCCCAAGTCCCATTGGTCCCAAGTCCCATTGGTCCGACGCCCCATAGGATTAGGGTTAGGGTTAGGGTCAGTCAACCTGAACAAGTGGAACTACACAGTACATTGTATTATGTTTCGTCGGACCAATGGGACTTCAGACCAATGGGACTTCAGACCAATGGGACGTCAGACCAATGGGACTTCGGACCAATGGGACTTCAGACGAATGGGACTTCAGACCAATGGGACGTCAGACCAATGGGACTTCGGACGAATGGGACTTCAGACGAATGGGACTTCAGACCAATGGGACGTCAGACCAATGGGACGTCGGACCAATGGGACTTCGGACCAATGGGACTTCAGACCAATGGGACTTCAGACCAATGGGACGTCAGACCAATGGGACTTCGGACCAATGGGACTTCGGACCAATGGGACTTCGGACCAATGGGACGTCAGACCAATGGGACGTCAGACCAATGGGACGTCGGACCAATGGGACTTCGGACCAATGGGACTTCGGACCAATGGGACTTCGGACCAATGGGACTTCAGACCAATGGGACTTCAGACCAATGGGACTTCAGACCAATGGGACGTCAGACCAATGGGACTTCGGACCAATGGGACTTCGGACCAATGGGACTTCGGACCAATGGGACGTCGGACCAATGGGACGTCGGACCAATGGGACTTCGGACCAATGGGACTTCGGACCAATGGGACTTCGGACTATCGAGACTAACCCTACGTGGTACCTCTGGGTTTATCCTCCAGTTACAGCTTGTTTAAAAGGGAATATACAACATTTGCTTTCGCTGTAATTTTCTGAAATGGATGGATTTGGGGGCTTAGTATTTTACAGCAAATATCGTTACACTGACATATTTGAAGAGTTGTGTTCGTAGATGCTGGAAAACCAAGACAAACAATCTTGTTCCTGTAGTCTGATTCCCTGACCCCACTTGTGATGAAACGGAGCAATTTATAGTCGTCGAGGAATTGTAATGTCAGGGAACAAGTCTAGCTGGCTTGTATCCGTTCATAGGTGTGTAATTTATATTTTTTTAAATTTATTTTCCTTTCTGCATTGGGGGAGACGTCGTCATCGTTTGGACAGACACCCATAACTAACCTCCGTCATTTGGCCTTTAACCCTAACCGCCCTGAATCCTCCAAAATCCTTTTTGCAAATTGGAGGATTTTGCAGGATTGAGGTTACATGGCAAAAGTGCGTGGCGGATTTTGGAGTACGCACTGTGTCAAGGTCTTAGGCCGGACCTTGTGTTGTTTATGCTCAGCCATGCATAAATTTAGCCCTTGATTATACTTGAAATCCTCCGCACAGCTCCAGGATGTCACTGCCTCTGCCTCAGCCTATTGACAGTCATAGCCGGAGGATTTTGCAGGATTCAGGCTTTATGCTATTTTGAGTCCAATTGGAGGATTCTGCAGGATTGAGGCTACATCCTAGCAAAAAGGCCTAGGGAGTTAGGGTTTTAAAGAAGAATTTGTTAAGTTTGCAATGTCAGGCCGCATCAATTTTCTAGATTTGTATATTTTCAGGTCAATCCAGTCAGACAGCAGTTTGCGTGACTACAATTTTAGGCTTGCCTTGTCTTGTTACTCACCTACAGCAAGGACTGCTATTGCTGTATATGTCTTAGCGATAGAGAGTAAGCCGAGTGTTACGGTGCATAAGAGGGTTGATCCGGCGAGCACATACAGATAGGAGAAGGGCAGCCAGTCGCCCACCACAGATATCAGGACTTTGCCACCGAGTTCCCCGCTAGCAAAAATCACAATGGACGAGGCTATCTGGTTGTCATCGAAATGGAGACCGTCCAAGAAACTAGCCTGCGCACAAATAATATCACACAATCAAAACAGACATTAATAAATCGGTTACTCACGTTACGAAAATGTAAGGTGAGTAACCGATTTTTGGCGTCTTGTTTATCATACATAACACATTTTTCTGGATGTCATCTTTGGTGCTTAGGTAGGCCTAGGTCTACTCTATCTACCATGGGGATAACAGTTATTAAACCTTTTGAGTAAGGTAATTACAGTCCAAGGAAACTCAAAAGTACATCAAAAATGTAACGTGGGTAACCGTGTAATTGCCCATTTGCTTAAACAGGAAAATAATTACTTTTTACCTTTTAGCTTTTGCTACACTATAAGCGTTTACTTTGTTTCTTATGAATATAAAAGGGGTAAATGCTTCAGATTTCAAATATTTACTTGTCATATTTCAAGGCTGGGTTGGGGCTACCTGGAAAATATAAATGCACATAATTTTGTGCAAAAATTACTGCATTTATTAAAGTTAATCGCGAAAAATTAATATTAACAAAGTTCATAATAAGTACAAATAATACCATACGGTAGTTCGTATGAATAAAAACTGGCATTTGCATTACTACCAATTTTTTTAGCATTTACTCCCATCTGTATGAATAAAAATTCAGCAAAGGCTTTTACTGAAAACCATTTGCTCTTGAGAAAAATGGCCTGCACAATGTAAAGGTTTACACGTTTAGGCCTATAAGTTTGCAGAAAATAAAATTATCGTAACCGAAACGGAAAGCGGCAAGTGTATGCGCAGCGCTTACATACTCGGTGCGCATTTCTAGCTTCGCGCGCATTGAGCTAGGTCACGTTCTGGAGGACATATTTAGCTATAATGAATGAGAAAAGTGGAGATGTTGCATAGCACTATGGAGCATAATTATGACATACTGAGTTAAAATTATAAAAGTGCTCACCGGAAAATAACTCCCAAAGCTTTCGGTGCGTACACCTTCTTCAGGGGATTAAGCCATAGCCCCCTGAAGAAGGTCTACACACCGAAAGCTTGAAAGTTATTTTCCGTTGAGCACTGTTATAATTTGAACTTTATGTCCTACTTAAGGCTATAAAGTTAGGCTAATTTTTTGCCAACCACAAGAGAACACAAAAATGGTGCACATTTATCGCACAGTGAATGGGGCATATGCACGCGCTGCCGATTTAGTCATTTTATTCTATATCTATGGACGTAATACAGACTGCAACCGCGCCGCCGCACTCGCGTTGCATTCCAGGATGAGCTACATGTACACTGTATATAGAATCTATTTTTTTAAAATGTACTCGATTTGTACTCCCGAGTACTGGGGTCAAGTACCGAGTCCAAACCAACAAGTCCGTGCCAAAATTCGAGTAGTGATATCGAGTACGGGCCGAGTACTTGTGTGTACTCGAGTTGTACTCGAGTACGAGTACTCCAACACTGCTACTAGCTCATTATTACTTTTTGTGAACTTTGTACACAAACTTTATATTATAATGTACATCACTGCACATCGGCTAAACAAGCATGAAGTCATACATCATTTCATTTAAAACGTGTTTAGCAGCCCAATTGGGCGCATTCCAGGATGTATTGTCCCTTAACTTGTGATTACTCTGCTGTAAAAAGACATTTGCAGATAAAAAAGACATTCATTCGAAGAACTGCGACCAATTGTTTACAGAGTTATTTGGCATAACAAGAATGAAAAGTTCACTTACAAAATTGATATTGAAGAATGTCACGCCCAGAAAGGCCAGAAGGTTCCCAATGCTCCAAAGCCATTGCTCTGGGTCCTTCATCATGGCCAGATATCCATAGCTGATCGCAGTGTCCACGTACACGGGTTCCTCCCGTGGGGCAGAGGTGTCGTCAGCTTCTGTCGCCTCGGTTTTATCAACCTCACCCTGGTCTTTGTCGTCATCGTGAAGGTCCAGAGGGTCAGGGTCTGTTGACTCTGTTCCCTGTACTTCACTGTACCCACTCTCTTCCATACCACCTGCGCGTATCTGCTGCATCGCCACTTCGGTGTCGGCGCTGTTTTTGTGGTCTTGAGAGGTGTCTTTAAAGGGAAAATACAACATTTGCAAACATCAAAAAATAAAACTACCAAATCATTTTGAAATACCTTGCTGGACTGTTAGTGAATGACAGTGTAAAGCATCCTGTAAAATCATGGCACCTGGTATACTGTCATTTTCAAGAAAAGTGGTATTTTTGTATCAATTTCCAACGCTGATCGGCCGATCAGCGTTGGAAAAAACTGGCTTTTTTCAAATACTGGCCCCAATTGACCATCGCACTTGTTTGCAATCGATTACAAACCTATGAACGGGTACGAGCCAGCTAGACTGGTTCCCTGACCTTACAATTCCCCAATGTATGTAAACTGCTCTGTTTCTTCTTATATGGAGTCAGGGAACCAGACTACAGGAAAATGATTGTTTTTCTTGGTTTTTATAGCATTTTCGAACCCAAAACCTCAAAAAAGTCAGTGTAACTATATTTGCTATATATTTCCAACCCTCCAATTCCATCCATTTCTGAAAATTACAGCAAAAGCAAATGATGTATATTCCCTTTAAAGGAAGAGGACAACGTTCGCCCAAAAAATGTTTTTTGTCAAACTGTTACGACAAAGCTCACTTGGTTGGAAGTACCGGTAAACGGCATCATCATGTGAAATCATAGATTTGGCACATGTTGTCATTTTAGGAAAAGTAAAATTTTGTATCATTTTCCAATAGTTTTGGCCAAGCAAATGTTGGAAAAAACAGCTTACTAGATCTGTTTAGGGGGCAAGACAGCTATTAACCTTGTGCGTTTGTGCAGATACAGGTACAGGTAGGAATTTTTTTCCCAAGACAAAAACGACGCACTCAGGCATGGCCTGTAACCGTTGAATCTCACCCGAGACAAGTTGCAGCAACTGTAATTTTGATGTTGCAAAACCCCACCATTTTTGTTTGTCTTTTTCTGGCACCTATATTCACACAAAATGTTCAACTGGTCAGTGCAGTGATATCTGCCATAAATTACTAGTCTTGAAATCATTCGATTCACATTATGGGACTCTGTGCACAAGTACCCCCTCAACGATTAAAAAGGGAGAGTTGGGGGAGACCACTGACGCTCACGCCAAGACAGGTTTGCTGTGCACATTCAGAACGAATGTAGTCACGTGTATTTCGCGTTGTTTGCAGTTGAGCCAGTATGTTCACCCATGTGTGTACATTTTTACTGGAGCTCTCGAAAGAGGTAAAAAAGCGCCCTCTTGTGTTCAAATGTTGTCCATTACCTTTAACGACGCTGTCGTTCTGACCCTCAGCCTCAGCAGTGGGCGGTTCAGCGAAGAGCAATCCAGTCAGTGTGCCAACCGCGAGTATCCCACCGCTAAATAGCCTCAGCGCCCCGCGCCAGCCATAACGGGTGATGGCAGCTGTCAGCAAAGGGCTGAAGCTAAGCATGCCTTTAACAACAAATAAATAAAAAATAATTTCTTATGTAAAGAAACACTCACTCATCTCATGGCAATTTTTTTCTACTTGGTTAACTATGGTCCTTGATCAAACTTGCTCCCAGATTTACCCAAAGCAAATGGCGCCCTCCTATTGTGTCCGTCCCATCAGAAAGAAGAATGCACATCCACCGGATGTGATTGACCATTCCGAGCACGCTATCATTGTACACTCACAGAGGCCCTTGGTTAATCCTTCGCACGTGACAGGTCACTCTTACATTATGATCCTAAAAATAGCATATTATCGTACTCTCGCATGCGCAATACCACCAATGAGTCCATATTTCATGGTATACAAATATTGAATGCTTCGAGTGGTGTAGTAAAACTAGCCTCCCGAGGTGATCCATGGACCATTCTATTTTCCCGAGGCGAAGCCGAGGGAAAATAGAATGGTCCATGGATCATCGAGGGAGGCTAGTTTTACTTCACCACGAGATAAAGCATTCAATATTTGTTTTATAACACTTCACCCACAGATTTTGCTTGATTTTAATATTTTAAATTATTTAAATCTGAACACAGTTGAAATAAACTTCAATTTCAATACAAAATTGGTGGAAAATGTATTTCTCTCTTAAAAACTACCCCTTCACGAAATGTTTGAACCCAAATCTGCGGCGCGCTCTCTTTGGAATAATACGCGCTACGCACATCGCGCACACCAGCATGCATTTGCACACAAATACCGCGCCGTGGAAATAGTACTTTGGTTGCTAATGGTATAGTACTTTGGTTGCTATGCGCATAGTACTTTTGGCCGTGCACAGAAAGATAGCAAAATTAGAAAGTAACATGTGACTCGCTCTCGGCCAATCAAGACACAGAATCTGTGGGTGAGGTGTTATAAAGTCGGATATTCACGCTACACCGTCACACAATATCTCGCACAATGCTTTCGCCACTGAAGGAGGCCTCCGTGAATAGCCTGTTCTGATTGGTCCATAAGTACGTCATTTGCATTTACCACACGTCGATCCTGTGAAACCAATGGCGGCAGCCCGGGAATAGTTTCCCGTAACAAACCAGTCCAGCGTCATTCCTATCGATGCGCTGACGACGAGGTTACCGCCCACTCCCGTCAGGACTCCATATGTCACAAAGGCGTAGCCCAGGGCAGGCACCAACGACGTCAAGAACAGTCCTGCGCAATAGACGGTCATCCCAACCAGGGCGACCGCTCGTCGGCTCAGCTTTGGGTGGAGCAGATTGCTGACTGGGCTGAGGAGACACAGCAAAGCAATGGACAGAGATCCCAACCATCCTGGGGACAAAAAATATACAAAGAACCGAATTTTGCAAATGTAGTGGCTATTTTCACGGCTTCCGCAACGTGATTTTCAACTGCTATCGTTACAGTATTGCAAAATCACCGTTATGAATCTATATCACATTAAACCCTAACCGAACTCAACCCATCAAAGTTCAACAGCAGGTTTTGTTTAAATCTGTTGGGATAGGTAGAGTACCCCTAAACTGATGGTCTTTTGCATTGGGTTTGGCATACCTCCAGAAACTAAGTCCAACAGTGCGTGTGAACAATTTCCCATGTGGGTGTTGGAATTTGCCAGAATGGGTATGGTTCCTAGTAAATTAGGCTGGGGAGTTAGGGTTAATAAAAACCGTACCTTGGAGAGTTGATAGCTTCCGTTTGGTCAAGACTCGATCACGTGGGGTGTATTAACATGTGATATAAAGACCGGCTTCAAGACTAAATAGCCCCCTACGGTAGCTTGTAACAATACAGCCAACAACTACATACATAGTTACGCGGGCGTAAGAGTCTACACAGCATGTTCGTACTGAGGATGTTAAATGCGGATATATTTTGACGAAATTCATCATCTGTAAACATGTCGCTCATTACGTTTTCGTAAACATCAGGCGTTATACAGGAGACTTGGCTCATCCGTGGATAACTGGTGATACTCGGACTAATTTATGGCATCACCCACATACAATTGGGATATTTTGACCCACAATCATTTTTTTTCTCGGTTACCTGTCAGTGTTGAACCGGATTGGAATTCGTCTTGCAGACTCACAAACAGAATGCTGTAGTTGAAGAGAAGCCCCGGGCACAGGAAGAAATTAACAAAGAACAGGAACGGGACGACATAACGCCACCATCTGCAGCGGGCTTGGGGAAGGCAGCCCATTGGAGCTGACGGGTGTTCACCACTCACAGATGCCCACGAGTCTGTTCTGTTGTTCGGATAAAAAGTATGAAAGTTGATGGTAACTTCACATTTTCTAACATGGCTTTCAAACGTTGGGACCGTATGGGGGGGGGGGGGGGGCGGGGAAGGTGAAGTCACAGTGCTAACTTTAAAAAACTTGAGGAAAACAATTCCAAATGTCCGACCGATGGCAGGAAAAATCTACTTTTTCTGTAGATGATTTGTTGGATTGGAGAAAGTTTTGTTTGGAAAGACGGAAGGATTTTTACAGGGACACAAATATACATTGCTGTGTGGCTCATGATATGGGTAGGGGGTGTGGGGGGGGGGGGGAGGGGTGGGTTGGGGGGGGGGGGGAGAGATGCCCCCCTTCCTCCCGGTTTTGCTGCGTAATAAGGAGGCCACACTCAGTCAGACCTGGAAATTGGAACTAAATTTAGCAATATTTAGCAGGCCTCACATTTCCTAAATTAGCATGATTATAGTAAATACAGATCCTTATAATGTCATTTAATTGGTGGAACTCACTTCACGTGACATTGGTTATTGCTCCCATTCACGCCGGGTCTCAAAAATTCCCAATTGCCCATGGTGAATGGGATTTACTATTGAACAGTTAGGATCATTCTTGTTCCATGGTGAAGTAAATGCATGCTGGTGTGCGCGTTGAGCTTGGCCCGTATTGTTCCCAAGAGCAAGTAGCTACAGAGTTGGGTTCAAACAGTTCATGAAAGGGTGGTTTGGAAGAGAGAAATACTTTTCCCACAAATTTTGTATTGAAATAGAAGTTCATTTTAACTGTAAATCAAATGACAAGGATCTGTCAGTTACACAAAACAAATATTGAGTGGCTTTAAATTGTGAAATGGGAAGAATCTTATCGCTCGGTTAAATCTAGACTTTTCCAGTTCACTTGGCTTCGCCTCGTAAAATAGAGAAGTCCAGATTTTACCTTGCGATAATATTCCTCCCATTCCACTCTGAGCCACTCAATATTACTATTGCAGTAGGATTTCAGGAAAAACAACTCTTTGTAATACTTAAAGGGAATATAGGCGCCTACAAACATTTGCAAACATCAAAAAACAAAACTACCAAATTATCCTGAAATATACTGGACTGTTAGTGTAATAGTGAATGACAGTCTAAAACATCCTTTAAAATCATGGCACCTGCACCCGATTTCACGAAGCGCTGCGACGCGTCGCAACTCGAGTTACGACGTGTAACACGTCGCAACTCGCGACGTGTCGTATCTTCCATTTCACGAAAGTTGCGATGTGTTGAACGCGTCGTAAGTTCCTTGACAACGGCTTAAAACACGTCGCAAGTTAAGACGTGTCTAGTGTATCGCAAAATAAGAAGAGTAATTTCTAAGCCAGTTTTATGCCATAAAAATTACATTAACGAGATTATAATTTCAAGGCGATGTGTGTAAAGTTGTAAATGGAAAATTCATTGAATAATTATAAATTAGACCGGAATATTAGAGTTGAAATTTCAAAGTAGCTACACAGTCCACTGAGAGCTTGTTTTCCTTCAAAATTGCATCGCACGACCGCCATTTTGTTTGACCTTTTAACAAATTTCGATGCATCGTAAGTTACGAAGAGTTTGATGAAATCGGGTGCTGGTGTGCTGACATTTTCAAGAAAATAAGGTATTTTTGCAGCCTCGACTCCGTGGGCGCATGCGCGTTCCTTCACTAACCCCTTGGCGGCCAGCTGCGAGGACCACGGAAACGATGCTGACCGGCTATTCAGAGCGCACTGCGCGCGTATTTTGAAGACTGCACGCCCTATATCTGCTCGCACCTCATCTCCTGCACGTCACATCACGTACAATTTTTTTTTTCAAATCTACACGATGCCTGTACGATATGGATTATGGAAGCGTTGTTTTTGCCCCCCAAAACCTGTATCTTGCGTTGTAAAGGTACCGGTACGACAGAATTACGTACAGTACAGTTAGTATAAATCCTTGCTAAATAACGCAACGTCGAAATATCATGTTTGAAAGGATTGATTCTTCAAAAAAAAAACATTTTAAACACTACGTTAGGCCAAAAAAAAAATAAGTCGGTCTCTGGTCAGCGCGCCCGTCGATTTTAATCATGCGCGTCGATCTTTTTTTTTTCCAAAATGTTCCGCGGTAGCTCCAACAGCGCCCTCTATTTCCGCCTCTCCTCAATTTTTTTTTACCAACGAGCACCAAGCAATGGGAAATTGCACCAAGGCAAATGATCGAAAGCACCAAGGCAAATTACGGAGGACACCAATGTACATGAGGACACCAGAAAAGCAAAATAGTACCCCACCTTGTCTGTACAATCCAAGCTTGAAGAAAAAAAAAAAGAAGCCCCGTCAATTCCGGAATTTTGGTCTGACCAGAGACCGAATATTTTTTTTTTTGGCCTTAGATAGATACATCGACTGCAGTCCAATTAAATGTGCCACTGTTTGGCACATCTAAAGTACACAATTTCAGGGGTTAAGATCACCCAAGATCATACCCGTGGAAACGAGTATGGAAGACGAAAAGTGGCCATCTGCTTTTCTGCAAGCAGAATTTGAATTTTCTACTTTCCTGATTTAGCACATTTTACTTTCCCTCCTTTTTCAGGCGGACGAAAAGTGGCCATCTGCTTTTCTGCTATCAGAAAAGTAGAAAAGCAGATTGAACATTTTGTGAGAATGCATTTTTCCACTTTTCTGCCACCTGAAAAGTAGATTTTACTTAGGTGGCCGAAAAGCGGCCATCTGCTTTTCTCCTTTCAGAAGAGCAGAAAAGTGGATTGAACCTTTTGACAACTGTGCAATTCCACTTTTCTGCTTTTTGGATAACGGAAAAGCAGATTTTACTTAGGCGGCCGAAAAGTGGCCATCTGCTTTTCTGCTACAAACTGACATGACTGAGCAAATAATGAGAGCTGGATAGGGTTTAATCAAAATTTCGGGAACAGGTCCCCTGATTGTTTTAAAGCATAGTATCACCGACCCTCTTCACAGAATGGCCAGTCTTAAGTTTCACTAGATCAAAGGCCCATTGGTAGCAGAAAAGCCTCTTTTCATCCTCCATAAACGAGGTTGGTATTTTTTTTTATCAATTCCCAACGCTGGTCGGCCAACCAGCATTGGAAAAGAACTGGCTTTTTTTCCAAATACTGCTATAAATTTATATTTAGTTAGTCTGCATCTTCTTTGCAATCAAAAGTACACAAAGTGAATAGATACAGGCCATATACACTGATTCCCTGACCTTACAATTCCCGACATCTATTTGCTCATTGGGTGAAGTTAGCTTGAGTAACTCCAGCTGACATGCTCCATATTCATTCAAATGTGAATGAATATGGAGCATGTCAGCTGGAGTTACTCAAGCTAGGTGAAGTGGGGTTAGCATGGTCATGATGGTCAGGGAACCAGATAACCCCATAAATGTGGCCAATTTACTGGACTACCTCTGTAAATAAAGGCCACACTTCCACCATGTACAAAAACATGTGTCGAACTTTGTAAAATTTTGATTTTCACATTTAGGCTTAGTTTGTAGTTTATTTTTGCTTTAGAAGCATACTCACCCTCTTTATAGGCTAATCAGAAAGTGCTGCCTTTTTCAGATGTCTAATTTTCGTAAAAAAATTCATGTTGAAATTTTGATACGCAAACGTGTGCAAACGAATCTGGAAATTTCACGAAAAATAGACATCTGAAAAAGGCAGCACTTTCTGATTAGCCTATAAAGAGGGTGAGTATGAAACTGCAAACTAAGCCTAAATTTGAAAATCAAAATTTGACACAGTTCGACATGTTTTTGTACATGGTGGAAGTGTGGCCTTTATTTACGGAGGTAGTCCAGTAAATTGGCCACATTTATGGGGCTAGGAACCAGACTGCAAGAACATGATTGTTTTTCTTGGTTTTCATTACGAACCCAAAACGTCAAACAAGTCAGTGTAACATTTAATATTAATATTTGCCATAAAACCCCAAAATCCATCCATTTGTAACCAGGTCGGGTTTCAGTACTTACTTTCACCCGACAGGTTCCTTACTCCAGCATTCATATCAATTATCATAACTTCTTAACTTCGTGTTTGTGTCGATTCAGTCACAAATGTGAGCAGCCATTACGATCATGCTTTTTGCCTAACGCCCTCTCGCGGCCAACTAAACTTTTTTTACAGCGCGCGCCGCCTAGAATTTTGCTCAAAAATGCAATGGGCGTAGCGAGCAGGCGAGGTTTGCATTCCACCGCGCTTTGTTTAAGAGAAATAGCTGGCATTCCGGGCGTTTCGGTTAGTTTTCTTGTAAGGCCTGCTGCGAAATAACTTTGATTTCGATCCAACACCTTGTTGCGTTCAGACCATCATTTTGCGAGCTCTTACACTCTCCACTTACATCTACAAATTTTGAGAGAGGCTCCCTATAGCAGTAAAATATTTTCATCTATTTTCACTGCTGAACTTCGATTTTGACATCGGACACGGAGAAGGCATGAACGTAGACCATCCCAAGTGGTGAGTAAATCCCTTGTCTGATATTTCACTTTTTATGCCTAAAACCTTTTTTATGCCTGAATCTTTTTATGCCATCATTTATGAAACATTCTGGTCTTTTGTATGCTTTGTTAATTGCCATTTAAATAATTCTTCTGTTTGGGCAACAATCATTTTATGCCACAGTTTGTTCCTTTACTGATGCATGTATAAAAAAGTGTTTTGATTTACAAATAAGGAAACCAGTTTTTCCCAAACTTCTTTGAATTAAATATCGTTAATAATGTATTTTGATATGGAAGTTATTCCCATAATTCATTAATCATTTATTGTTTTTATGCATTTCAGATACCATCCTTGGAGCGACTTCATTAGCCTATTTTCCCTTTTTGACTGTCGTTTTTATAGACCCAACAAAGTTTCGTTTGATATACCCAAAGTTCATATATATATACTGTAATTCTTTTGTAAATACCTAATAATTTGTATATTGTCTCATATTTGTGCTGTAAATAAAACATTTGATATTATTGAGACGTAGACAAACAGAAACTTCGCTCCACCCAAATTATTTTTAGTGGAACCACTCGGTTGTAAGGAGGGTGCCACATTTTAAACTAATAAATCCCACTCTCCCCGGTTACACATTTCTGAAAATTCCGACCATGAAAGCAATTTAGCAAAGGCCCCGAGTGAAGTGTCAGTATTTTAATTGTTTATTGTTGGCTTCAAATTGGCTCACAACATTGAGATCGCTAAATTTCCTCGATCCTCAGCTTTGAACCAGAGCTGAAACTTGTGCTTACCTCCGCTTTAGACAGTTCTCACAAAATAAAGCAGTCAGCTCAGCTCAGTCCAAATGGCAAATGCACGTACAGACGTACCGGTTGCGCTGCCCAACTGAACTAAAGGCTGAACAATTAAGTGTCAAGCAAGGTCGGCGTCGGTCCATGCAGTCTGCAGCCACACTAGCCTTTCGCCGGGTCAAGGCCATTGTGGCTTAAAGGGAATATACAACATTTGCAAACATCGAAAAATAAAACTACCAAGTTTTTACGAATCACCTTACTACTAGGATGTTGGTAAATGACAAGTCTAAAGCATCCTGTAAAATTGTGGCACCTGGTGTGAAGTCATTTTCAAGAAAATGGTATTTTTGTATACATTTCTTATGGTGGTCGGCCGACCTCCGTTGGAAAAACCTAACTATTTTTCAACAACTGCTCCACCTTAAACTTTTTTTTCAGTCAAAATTTCGTTTGCTATTGGTTACATCATACATGTTCATGAACGGGGATATCCGGGTGCAGGCCAGCTAGACTGGTTCCCTTATATACCTTACAATTTTCAGGCATCTATGAATTGATCCATTTTATCTTTACTGGAGTCAAGGAACCAGACTACTTGAACATTTTTGTTTTTCTCAGGCATGCGGCTGGGAAGTCACAAAAAAAGAGAGGAAATTCACATCTTTCCAAGACTTTGTACAGCGTTTTTCTATTTTCAATGGCAAACTTGAGAATTAAAAAAAGAGGAAATCAGCTGATCCGAGGAAAAGTTGCATGCCTGTTTTTTGGGTTTTTCCAGCATTTTCGAACACAAAACTTCAAACGTGTCAGTTTAACAATATTTGATCTGTTAAACTAACCCCTCAAATTGTTCATTTCTGAAAATAACAGCAAAAGCCAATGATGTACATTCCCTTTAACTTGCCGGAATTAGACAAAGCCGCGAATATTCTTAATATTTTTGTTTCTAATCCTGCGTTTTTATTGACACACGCTGTAGTATATATCTTGAAATAGTTATAAGGGGATAATATTAAGTGTGATTAAGCAGTTTCCATGCATACAATATTCAGCCATTATGGTTGCGAGGGTGAAGCTTGGCTGGTTAAAGCCTATCCGATTACGTACTTTGACGCTGTAACAGAGCAGTGAAATTCGTGAACCCCCAAAACATGTCCTTTTGAACGTTGTGTTTCTCAGAAAATATGTTCAGTATGATTGAAATGTTAAATTATAAAGGAAGAAGAAATTCTAAACTTCATGTCAGTGAAAAAATCGCCGTCATCGATGCCAAAACCTCAGTACTGGTTACTGGTACGGTAAAGCAGACCTTCAAGTCTGGAAGATATCGTTCGAATACGTCCCCAAATCTATGTATTTATATCAATTTCTAGGAATTTACGAAAGTTGTTATTTCACGAGTAGTTGAACATTTATATCATCTAAGTATATTCCGAATTTCAGCTTAATCTGTTGGCGCTAACGCTTGTGTTACAGCTCAAAATATCTCCTAAGGAAAATCTCGACGAGGATTTTTTCGACCCAACCCACTTGCATGGTTTTCATAGCGCCGTAGGCGCTACGGTTGACCAATTTCGGCCTGGCACAGCGCAATAACGGTGGGTATATTAATTAGCATAATTAGCGTCACCTGGCGTGACTTGCGTGGGTCTCGGTATCGACCAATGCATGGAAGCCGGCAAAAAGGGTGATATTTATCAATTAAAAACTCGTGAAGAAGGCTTTAATGCAACTGCACACTATAATGGGTAGGAACCTTATTAATATTTGTAAGGCTTGAAAAGATTAAAAGACATTGCTAACGCCAGTGTTACACTTACAGCTTTCAAATATGCACGTAGCCATGTGGGCCTATTTTTCCAATTTCAACGACAAGTAAAGAAGATATCACAACGATTTTAGCACATTACTTGGATCATTATAAGGGAAATAAACCCTGAAAGTTGCATGAAGATACGGTCTTCCAAACGGGAGAAATTAATTTTCAAAGATTTCGCCCGCCTGTGTGAACATGTGTGTACATGTAGTTTCATTCAAAATAAAGTGTTACGTAACCTTTAGAAATCGCCTTTCGCAACCACATGGCTATATTCGTGTGGTAAAAGCCAGTTAGGCACCTGACCGGCGATAATTCCTGAGCCGAATCTTAGGCGCAGGGTGACCGTAAGGTCATGGCAAAATTCTGCTTAAAATGCACTTGTCAAAAATCAGCCACATTCCCCAGAATTACTCGAAAAAACACCGTGAACACTTACAATCACATGCAGATGTTGTAGTATTTCCTTAATTAAGGTTCAAATTACATTATAAACAATCTATAGTCACTCAAAGATGTTACAAAACTATTGCGTAAATTTCAGGCAAAACGCGCGTCACGACGAAGTCTGGTTCCCAGTAAACCTCAGCACCTAGACCAGCCAACGTCCTGTCCCATTATGCAAGGGTTTGTTTAAAAAAGATTGAAGCTTTTTATACAAATGTACCATTTTTTTTCAAATTTGCTATGGTTTTCTGTCAAATAACCATTTGTGCAGAATTCTGCCAGAAATCTGCCAAAAAATCCATTCTGTCAAATTTCTGTCAAACTCGTTTAACAAAAAAAAATATGTCAAAGTTAGCCGAAAATCGGCTAAAAACGGTCACCGCGACCAGTTTACCCTGACGTAAATGACGTGACCAGTGTTTTACCGGCAGTTTAACCACCCACGTGACGGGCTCTCGACCAATAGGAATGAGTAAACTGTCTCAGGTAAAATATTTATATGAATGAAAAGATTAAGAAAATGGGGGAAAGAAAGGGGAAAAGAGAATATATGACTATGACCCACAACAGAACCAACAATAAATTAACCAATCCAAAACATCCCAATTCTTATTACGTTTAATTATCAAAAGTCAAAAATCGAAATCAGAAATCATAAAAAAAAGTATTTGCTAAAATGCACCCTGAATAAAATTATGGCGTGTAAAAACCAGACACTATTTTTTTCTGCCGAATCTGTAGACCACTGCACGTGGACATCGTGGATTCTTAATAACTGAAATAATTTTCAGAAAGAATGAATTGTACTTTCGATTGATTGCACATTGCGAAAAGCAGTGGTATAATGTTGATGCATGGGCCGTGTCTATTAGAAAAAATCGGGCACGAGTCAGTTTGATGGGGGCCCATGGCATGTTCGCTTAAGGTTGCAGACCAGTAAATCGGTCCGTTATTGCCTACGCCGGCCAAATCACGATTTGCATGCCCTCAAAATCTTCAGTATTTGAACATGCTGTGGGCCATGAACTTGAGGGTTTGTAAAAAAAAATATGGGTGGAAGCCATGCACAGGACTCTGAGCTTGTAGTTTTATTCAATTTGGATGAAATTGGGGCCCTTAAAGCACTGTATTTTGCAATGGAGTGTACGCATCGTTTTTCAAAATGGCGATGGGCTTCAGGACTATTTTCAGGTGTGATCATCTTCGGATAGAAATTTCTCCTAAAAGTCATCAGTTGACCCCCCGAAAATTGAAAAACAAATGAAAGATGATGAAATAAGCTTTAATTTGATGTGTGTTTCGAACACCTTGGAGAGTTGTGAGTATTTTTCCCGAATTTCTGAAGTGGGAGCATTTACCATTGGGGTCTATGGAAGTTTATTTACTGGTCTGCAACCATAAATGACGAATTCAAACACACTGCCTTATTTCAGTGTCGTGCCGATATGTCTAGTCATTATCGTAAACCAATAATGCTATCGCTTTTATCACCGTGGGACCCCCTTCAATGGCAAAAGCACTATGCTATAGCTATTGTTCATCCGTCGAGGGGAAGTTGCTTTGTACATTAGGGTGCACAATAGTTTCTCCATTGAAGGGGGCCTCGGGAGTGCACAGCGATCAAGTGCACGGATTCGTCTGTGTTTGAAACAAGTAGGAATACAAGCTTTATGAGTTTGTCTAGAGGGTGGGCGTGTTTACACTAACATGCACGGCCTGATTAATTCTCCTCCTTACTGGAATAAATATATAGGCGGCTGAAGCGCAAACGAAGAGGCCGGCAATGATGAGTAGACTAAGAACGTAGTCACCCGTGACATCATACAGTACACCTAGCAACAAAAAAAAGAGAAGAAAATAAGCTTTAAGAAAGTCAGAGAGAAATTTTGTACAAGACAATGCAAGAAAAGCTGCTCACTAAACGCACAAAATTCTTGGATTCAGAATGGCAATTCCTATTTGGTACTACAAGAGACTTTTCATGTATCTGTGTAAACAATGTGACAGATTTAGCACAGTCGTCGGCATTACAGGGTAATCCTATACGATAGCACTGCCCGGTGAGGCAGTCAGTCAGTGAAATAGGTGTAAAGTGGCCCTCAGGGACCAGATATTATTATATTACCGAATGGTACTTTTTATGTCAAATAAACAGTCTCTTTGTAATTAAAATAAAATACCGGCTTTTACTCAGTGTACGCCTTTTGTGTTGAACTTGAGGTATTTACCTGCTAATGGTGCACTGATCAGTACTCCGATTCCGGTGGGAACTAACGTCATAACCATGACACCGTTAGTGCCATACTGCTCGTGGAAAAGTTCTGCTGCAGCTGTAAATTGTGCTGTATAGCCTGACCGTAGAACCCCAGAAACTAGAAGCCATAACAAACAAACAAACAAACAAACATGAAACAAAACAAAGTGAAAGCTGTCCACGCGGACGTTATGAAGTCATGAAAGAACGAAATAATGGAAATTTTAGCTCTGTGAATGCTGTACACTACGACAACACGATATTCTAGGACTTCAAAAATTGCGCCCGAAATCAACATCCGGAACACGTTCTCAGTCAGCCACGATTTAACAAGCGTCTTTTTTTCTGAGCCGCATAAGTATCTAGTACGCGATTTATGGTCCATACTTTGGCAACAAGAGATCAGCTGTGTTGGACGTAATACCAGTGAACATGAGTTAACTTACCCACTGTAAGAAGCACGATCACATCAAACGTCTTCGCAATGGTCAGAAACCCCAGAACGATGGTTCCAAAGAGACATGAGGCCATCAACAGATACAGAGCCAAGAAAGGCAGATGATCTCCAATCACGGCTATCAGGACCTTCCCGCCAAGTTCCGCCAAAGCAAAGTACATGATGACAGAGGCAATGCTGTTGCTGTCCAGACCAAGTCCGTCCATGAAACTAGCCTGCAAGAACCAAAGCAAGTTTATTTTTAAGTTGAATTCAACCTTAGAGCCGGTTAGATCAAGAATATTGGCTATAAACCATTAGTGGGATAGCTGGGGGGGGGGGGTCCATCCAGCCCAAAATAACCCCTCAACAAAACAAAGGAACAAGACATTTGAAAAGTGGTACGAGGAAGCTGCATGATGATGACTTTGTTCAAACTACCTACTGTGTATTGGAGATCTATGTAACAAAAAAATACAAATATTGCAAAGAGCTAGTGTATCAAACATGGTAATTCCAAAATAATAATTTAGCAGTGATATGAAGGAGGTTCGAACCTCCTTAATTCATGCTTTATCAACAATCCAGATGAACTTATTCAAAGAGATGTCCGTAATTCTAATTATGAATTTCAACACTCGCCATTTCGTTGCATTTCAGTGGTTATACGTTGATGAATTGCACCACAGCATAATGGCTGAGCATCATCGATTCAAATATAACAGCGTTGCTGTTGAAACTCCTCAGCCAGAGTCAAGTTATCATCCGAAAACCATTAACTCAACCTTGACCTTTGACTCAAAACCAAATCCCAATTTGCCTGTACCCAGGGCAACCCCCTACCTAAGTTGGACACCAAAATCTCATTTCCAACTCAACTTATCATCCGGAAACCATTTACCTTTAACTCACCACGGTGACCTTGACCTTTGACCTTTTGAACGTCAAACCAGTCCCAACTTGCCTACTCCCAAGGGCAACCCCCTACCAAAGTTAGACACCAAAATCTCATTTCTCTAACTCAAGTTATCATCCGGAAACCTTTTACCCTTAACTCACCACAGTGACCTTGACCTTTGACCTCAAAACCAATCCCAACTTGCCTACTCCTAAGGGCAACCCCTACCCAAGTTTCAATCCTAAACAACATATCTAACTCAGGTTATCATCCGAAAACTAAGCTGCCCGGGCGGACAGACGCACGGACATCTGTACGGACGGATGGACGCCGTAGGCGATGACAATACCACTCAAGCCTCTCAGCTGAGGGGTAAAAACATAAGGTAAACCCCATCTTCTTTACAATTCGAACTGACGACTTGAGAGATATCCTTCCAGTTACATTCTTCTTGAATTTTAAAATTCTGATCAGAAGCAATATTGGACCTTCTCAAAAACCAAAGCTATTAAACTAAACATGCTAAAAAAGTTAACAATTTCCCCTAAATGTGGATTTGTGGGCAACGTACGTAATTAATATTGAAGAAAGTCCAGCCCAAAAAAGAGAAAACTGTAGCCAAGTACCACGCCCAAGCCTCAGGGTTCGTTAAAGCACTAATTAGCCTTCCACGAAAATGTCTCTCTTCTCCAAGTTCGGGAGATCCTTGATTTGAAATGTTTGCTTCCTCGTCATTGGTAGTTCTGTCGTCAATTTCTCTTGCATCATCGTCAGTTTCAATGCAGCCGTCATCATGAACCTGCTTCCCTGGGACCATGCTCTCCAATTCATGTTTCTCATCACCAGGAGACTCATCAGGCGCCTTAGCGTAGTCCTCGGTTGATGGTGGGTCAGCCAGCAGCAGACCGTCAGCTATCCCGATCACGAGTATTCCACCGCTGAGAATTCTCAGCGCATTACGCCATCCGTAGTGAGTTATTAAGGCTGTCAACAAAGGGCTAAAGGCAAGCATACCTGCATACCCCACGGAGTTAAAAGAGAAAATTTCCATTAAAAATCATGTTAATTATCCACTGTTAAATTTAAATGCAATAATTCAAAATCCTCCCTTCCTGTATACAAGTTCGACAATATTGCCTGACGTTGGCCATTCAAAACAAAGGACATCAGCTTTTTAACATTATTCAAACCAGTCATTGCTATAAACTGGGTTATAATTTTGATTTTCAATTTTAGATATAGGGTTTTGTTCAGTCAAAAACGGGGACCACAATCAGAAGCCAATATTAAGGTGGCACCAAAAATCGCAGGCATGAGGTGGCAGGCCTCCCATAAAGGAGCACAGAGTGCGTCCCAACGACCCGTACGCGAGCATCGTGCCACCTCAGTAAATGGCCCCCATCGTGGTCGCCACATATAATTAATTCACAGTGGTCGGAGAAAACAAATTGACCACGTATTACCGCATGAGGATCCCAATAGAGCGAGGGCACTCGCCCGCGAGAAGTTCGCCTTGGCAAACCAGTCCAGCAGCAGGGCAAAGGAGGCATTCGTGGTCAGGTTGGCGCCCACGCCCGTCAAGACCGAATACGTGAAGAAGGCGTATCCCAGCGTTGGCACGGGAACGAATGACGTCGTCAACAGTCCTGCGCAGAGGGCAATGACCCCCAAGATTGTGACGATTCGACCACTCAGCTTGTGTGTAAGAAGAGAGCAGAGAGGACTAGCAAGGCCAGCCAGTGCAAGTGACAAAGACCCTAGCCAACCTGAAAACAAAACAGATACATGTACTAATTTATGTATAAAGTAATCATCATTCCTCTTATAGACAAGGCAAGCCTAGCGAAGCAGGTCCCAGAGCACACAAAATTATATTCAATTGAATCAGAATGGCTACAAAGTTTGTGGAACAAGGTAACGTGGTACATGTATTAAAGTGATGGTACTCAATAATCTCCTTTCGTCCTTCACATGGAGACATGACATATCATCCCTTCTCAGTGGCGTAAATCTGTGTCGGCGAATGGCGGATAGGGGGGTGACCAAAAGTCCAAAAACTGCCTAAGAAAATACTAGCCGTGTCAATTATAACACGATTACCACAATATATTACCGCCAGGCCCGGAACGTGGAATTGTGACGCAAAAGTCTCACTTTAGTAAACGACGGTGGGTAGTTGGACCGGGTGGACTTATTTGCTACATGTATTTTGAAAGTAGCTTTAATATATGAAGCAAGTGGCGCCCGACTAATGCACATGATGCGAGGTAACATACATGAACAGGCAAGTCTCGGCTTATCCCCGACCACTTTAAGAGACAGTCAGTCCTATTCATATAAATGACAGCGTGTCAGTCAGTGTAGCTAGGTACGACGAGGATAATATAGGCTGGCCCAGTTGAATCAGCAAATGCCTAACGCATTCGTAAACGTACACGTTTTGTTGAGCACAGCCTGGTTAAGCAAAGTGGCAAAAGGCTTTACCAGTACAAACCACTTTTTGGTACAATGCTTGTTACCACATGCACATTGCCTGTGACTACATGCATAACATTAACCTTTGCTTACAGCAGCACTAGTTTTGTTCACAATAGGAGTTAAGTTCTCATCTCGGTGCACTGTATGTCGGGACTAACCTGTCAATGCCGAGCTGGAATGGAAATCCTCCTGCAGGCTCACAAACAGTATGCTGAAGTTGAACAGGAGTCCAAGAGTGAAGAAAAACTGACCGAAACACGCGAATGTGACGACCCAACGCCACCATCCGCAACGGGATCCTGATGGGCACACCATATCGGCCGTACCGGTCTCACAGTACGCAACCTTCACCGTCACTTCTCCTTGATGTTTTTAGACGACCATCTAGAGAATAACAAGAAAGTGACTCTGGCAGTTCTGAGTGTAACGTACTCATGTATTTACGGGTGGGTTCTGAAGCAATGCTTTATTACAATGTTCATGTTGTGAACATAGTAGTACAAAAAATGTATATCGGTACATTGTACGGGAGCTTCAAAATGATACGTCATATATGACATCTCCCTGTTTTATACAAGGAGTTGTAAAATTGTAACTTTAACTGTAAACTTTTAACGGTCAACTTTAATTATAAACTTAATAACTGTCCATTTAATGTTTGTAAGTATGTTTGAATAAACATTTGCAATGGAGGTGAACGGCAAAGGTTTAACAATGGCCATGTGCGAGTTTCCAATAAAATCTGGCACTTGATGTGAAGGAAACGGACTTTGTGTGACCGAGTTGCATTTGTGGATTGTGTTTGTTGTCTAACTTAATTTGAGAATACGACTTACTTCAGTATGAGTATTAGTAGTTTGTGATACTAGAGTGTTCAGGTCCAGTTTAAAGTCCATGTGGACGGGGGTCTGACGATGTGTCTGGTTATGTAGGGTGGCTTTGTGGGTTGACTGATGCCTTGGTTTGCTGGTTTGGGGTTCGCGACATTTCGCGTTAGGTTTGGGGGTCTGGCCAGGTGTGGTCGTCTGAGGAATTGATGGATGGTCTGGCTTTGGCTTTTGGAAAACTGCTGGTGGGGGTGGTTTATTGGCCAGGTAGGTAAAGAGACGAAGGTATCGTCAATTGTGTCAGTACTTGCAGTGGCCATACTGAACTATGCACGACCTTGGTGCTTCATAGTGATCTACCACTGTGGCTGGAACCCACTGCTTAGCTCCTGAAAATGGTGCCATCCTCATCGGGTCTCCGGACTTAAAGCTATAGTCCATCATTTGTAATTTGTGCATTTTGTTTGTTTGAAGCAACAAAAGGGTTCAAAATCTAATGAAGGATACTGAACAACTAACCCGATGAAGTTTCAGCTAAGCTTCAGCTGTACATATCGAGAAAAACAGCATTCTAAGATCTCAATTTCAAATCAAAAGTTACTGAATCATGTTTTGAATTGTTTTGAATTGCAGCCATACGCAACGTAGGGCACTGATCCGACGAATTATAACAACCGCGCGCGCGTGTGCGTCGTTCCAATACTTGTGCGCGCTGCGCTGAATAACAAAACGAACTACTAATTTAAATTTTCCTACGGTGCTTCTTAAGAATCACCGTTGGAAATGCCCTCTTTCGTTGATTACTTCAAAATGACAGCTTCCCAGAAGGAATAATTTCACAGGGAGTTTAGTTCCCTTACTATCTTTCAACCAAGTTTGTTTTCAACAATAATTACGCCAGTTACTTTTCGGATGGCTGCAACTGATGGACTTTAGCTTTAAGTGGTTGTAAGTCATGTCCTTTCTTGTTGAAGTAATGTTGTTGTTGTTTATCCTTGTCTTGGTTGATTTGATGTTTTATGTCAGATGTCTTCTGCGCCTCGGGACGAAGCAGAGTTCGTGCAACAGGTAGCTTGTTTGGAGGCCTGCGTCCCATGAGCAGCTGAGCATGAGCAGGTGAGAGGTAACAGCTTGCGAGATGGGGTAGTGCGATAGTCAAGCATCGTGAGGTGTTTTATCCTGACCTTTCTTTTACAAGTGCTTCACTGTCTGAATGGCACGTTCAGCTTCCCTGTTGGACTGACTGAGGATGATGAAGATTTTTTTTCTTGATTATATAATTTTTTTTTTAAATCATTGTTTTTAACTCATTATTTTTCCATCATTAGGGCCTATGTCTTTATAATCACTTTTCTCAACTTTTTTTTCTTTCGCATATTTTTTGTATTTTTCTGTCTAAATTCAGTGTTATTTTCTGTCTTTTTCCTATCATCCTTCCCCCTTCTTATATTTTGTGTGTGTGTGTCTGTTGATCACGGTAATTATCTCCGGTGTATCATTTTTGTATTTAATGTTTAACTTTTTCTTGTCACTTTTAACTTTTGTAACTTTTTCTGTTTCTTGTCAGTTTTGTTGTTTTGGTTTTTGTTTGTTTCTGCTTTGCTTTTTTATCCTCCCCACTTAAGTCACCTAAGACGTTTTTCGACGTTTCAATTTATTCATTTTTTTAGTAGTTTTTTGTTTGCCTTTTCAATCATCCTTCCTCGTTTCAGTCTTTTTTGTGTGTTTGTGTGTGTGTGGGTATGTGCGTTTGTACGTGAACTATATACACCCCGAGGACAGACAGACAAAGGGAGAACAACAGATTCTTTGTTGTCCTCGAGAGTTCATCTTTTGTTGAAATCGGTCCTCGGTCGTGGGTTTGTGTGCTTAGTCTATGGGAGAGTGTTATATTACAGGGACAAAGGAAAAGACAAAGCATTGTCCTCGAGAGTATAGTAAAACACGACGGTGTGTTTATGGTGTAAATCGAGGACACACACGTGCAACATCATTGGTGAATCGAGGACAGGAACCAAATCAAGCACGACCTCGATTAGAAAACGTGTTCAAAACCAATGAGAGCAGTTTAGAGTACAAAAGAAAAGGGAAGAAGAACAATAGAACATCCTTGATTTACACCATAAACAAATCTGGGTGTACGTGTGGGTTTGTTTGTTTTCATTTGCTTGTTTTTGTTTGTTTGTGTTTTTTGTTAGTGTTTTTTTTTGTTATCTTGGTAATCTCCCTTATACATTTTTGTGACGGTTAGTGTTAAAATTCATTGTTTTTCTCTGTCAGTTTCTTATCTTACGAAACGCCCCGCCAACCTCAAATTTCAAATGCTGTTGCGCAAGAACGAAAAGTCATAGAGACCCCAAATTTTCAGAATTTGCATTTTCCCTAAGTATCTTTCAGTTCACCAACAAAGAAAACAATCCAAGAGGTGATGGTGTGCACCATTTGTTGAGTTGGCATGGAATGACCCTGCTGTTCTAATCTCTTCCATTCTTTTGGCAGATCAGGTGCTGTTTTTCTGTTAACTTGACATGCCTGATATAGGCCTCCGTAGTTTTGTTTTCGGCCGTGAGATTTTGCAGACAGATTTGGACAGTCTAGCAGTGAATCTCTTTACAATGAGTTTTTCATTGCTTTAGAGATTCTCGGTTTCAGTTCCTTTTTCCATTTGAAACTGTCTTCCGAAGATTTGTTGCACTGCAAAACTAGATGTGAAATTTTTCACGAAACTGATAAAGTACAATGTTAATCACGAGCTGCCATGCGTAACGGTTGACGTTTTATTTTTGAGTTTGGACTACAGTTTCTGTTACTCACTCATTGGATGTCTTTTTCAGATGCTTTCCTGCCATGTACTACTACTAGACAAGTTCTGGTTGCTTCATTTCCCGGCACAGTTGCAGAATACCCCGCCACTCGATCTATCCACCTCGTAGCCGGCTACAAGGTCACGGCTGATTGACCTCAATAAACATTCTCAGCGCTACTTGTAATTGTATGTACTATGCGTCATGCTCCATTGCACTACCACTTCGTGACCGCGTAGCCGCCAACAGGGTAGTTGGTTTGGACTTTTTTCAGCAACTCCCATTCCTTTTGTGTTGCTTCGTTCTCAAGCATATTCAGGGGACTCCCACTCCGTAGCCTCGTAGCCGCCAACAGGGTGGTTGCATGGTTTGGACTTAGAATTTTTTTCAGCAACTCCCATTCATTTTGTGTTGCTTCGTTCTCAAATAATGGACCCCCACTCAGTTCGCGTAGCTGGCATGCAATGGACTTGAATTGTTTCTTTTGCAGTGATTCCAACCTCGTAGCCAGTGATTTTGGGGGTGTATTTCCGAGTGGCGGGTATTACTCTTAATTGACTCGCGGTGTATTTACGTGTGGGTTATGCGCTAGCATATCGGTACGGGAGCCTCAAAATGACAAATGTGACACTGAGTATACAACGAGGTTATAGTTGCCAAGAAAGGTGTCAGGCGGCCCCCTCACGGCAAACTTAGGGTGTAACTTCAATATTGACGTTTTTGATATAAAGTCATTTTTGAGTTATTGAGGGCGCTGTTTCCATTAAACGAACCCTTAATTCCACACGGCCTTCCGTTTTAAAGATAGCGGGGTGTATCTCGTGCACAAATATGTGCTCGTTTGATTCAGTTTCTTTGACAAATAGTGCATATTGAGACGCCCTGTTTTGTGCTAGATGTGACCAGATGAGACAAGAAACAAGGAATCCTGGAACACAACGTATTTGTATGTGTCTCTCCTCACAAAGTCTGGTTTATATGTACAGGAGCATAACAAAATTGTATACCAAACCATCAGCACACAAGCATTCACAAACAATTAAATCTGCCCGTCATCTTTCTAAAGCTAAATTATCAGAACTAAAAGTCCTATGGGTCGGACCAGTTGGCTCCTCAAACTTGCCTGCCAAATTATGCTAAGTAGGTTAAATGCTGGCTTCTGATTGGTCATTGCGATTACGTTCTATCAACTATCCAGACGATATGCGTAATACCGGCCGCTCCCTTTCATATGTGCTATGTCCGTCGTGTGCAATGCAGTCACATCACGAGGGGAATTTTTTGAACTATGCCGCTCTGCATTTGCAAGACTACTATAATATAAATAGGCATTACAACAAAAATGATTTCTGACAGTTACTGTTGTAGTGAGTGTAGCCTACTGTAATGTACATGATGTAAAAGTCTTTTCTTATAATGCAAAATTACTCACGTGGTCGTGTCTGTCAATTGAAAGAAAGGATTCACACAATGTCGAACGTCATGTGGTGCATGTGGAACACCCAATTTGTGTGTGCGCGTTGCACGTTGTGCGTAGGGCCTATTTATTGCAAAGAGAGCGCGCCGCAGACTTGGGTTCAAACATCTCGTGAAGGGTAAGTTTTTAAGAGAGAAATACATTTTCCACCGATTTTGTATTGAAATTGAAGTTTATTTCAACTGTGTTCAGATTTAAGTCATGTAAAATATTAAAATCAAGCAGATTCTGTGGGTGAAGTGTTATAAAACAAATATTGAATGCTTTATATCGTGGTGAAGTAAAACTAGCCTCCCTCGGTGATCCATGGACCATTCTATTTCCCCTCGGCTTCGCCTCGGGAAAATAGAATGTCCATGGATCACCTCGGGAGCCTAGTTTTACTACACCACTCGAAGCATTCAATATTTGTATACTATATCGTAGTACAAAGAGACATGATGACTTGAAGAGCTGCTAATTGCATAACAAAGCAAATGAAAATAAATAATTTGCAAGTGACCATTTCAGAAATTACATAGACTTCCTTTTCACAGCCTCCCCTCCCCCCCCCCACCCGGGGGCATTGCTAGGGGTTGAGGGTTGGGTGTGACCACCCACCAATAACTTGGCTTTGTCGGTAAAATCATTACCACATGGGCAAAAATCATGTATTTGCAAGCCGCAATGAATAACAATGGCCATATCCATTGAAATACATGTACTTTAAAACAGCTACCACTGTAGTGAAAACTCAAAACGGCTTCTATTTTGATTGATATCATTGATTGGCGTTGTTAGGCAAGGCTAATCCGATTATGTACTCAGACGCTATAATACGCAGTGAAATCCATGCGCCCCAAAAAACATGGCCTTTTGAACGTTTTGTCTCTAAGAAAATATACTTAGTGTGATTGAAATGTGAAATTATAACGGAAGACGACATTCTAAACTTCATGTCAGTGAAAAAAATATCGGTCATCGATGCGGAAACGTCAATACTGGTTACTGGTAAAGCTGACCTTCAAGTCTGGAAGAAATCGTTCGAAAACTTCCCCAAATGCATGTATTGACCTCAATTTCTAGGAATCTCTCCAAGTTGTCATTTAAGGAGTAGTTCAACAGTCAACACTTATATCATCTAAGAATATTCCGAATTTCAGCTTAATCTGTTGTTGCAAACGCCAGTATACCAACCAGAACCATCTCCATGGAAATTTTCGACGAGGCTTTTCTGTTGACACAACCGACGTGCCGCAGTCGCGGATCTCAGGGGCGGATCCAGGAATTTTCGCAGGGGGGGGGGGGGGGTTCGTCAGCAAAAAAATCTGAAAATGTACACAGGTTTTTTTTTTTCCGGACACTTGGCCTCCGTGAAATAAAAAAACTGAGGGAGGGGGGGGGGGCTGTAGTGTGGGGTTTCGAGTTATTTTTTAGGAATTTGTATGATAATTTTTTTTGGGACAGAGCGTGAAGGAGGCTCTTCTCCAAATTTATACTGCATACCACAATGAATCGGAACCCATTATTATGCTATCACTTGTATCACCGTGGGACCCCCTTCAATGGCAAAAGCACTGTGCTAGCTATCGTTCAACCGTCACGGGGCAGTTGCTTTGTAAACTAGGGTGCACAATACTTTCTCCATTGAAGGGGGCCTCAGGAGTGTACAGTGATCACGTGCCCGGATTCGTCTATATTTTTGAAACAAAATTCGGGACACAAGCTTTATTAATTCTTAAAGGGGCGGGCGTGTTTACACAACATGTTTTATTCTCCTCCTTACTGGAATAAATATATAGGCCGCCGAAGTGCAAACGAAGAGGACGACAATGACAAGTAGACTAAGAACGTAGTCACCCGTGACGTCATAAATTGCACCTAGCAACAGGAAAAGAGAAGGAAATAAGCATCAAGAAAGTCTGAGAGAATTATGACAGACAGCGCAAGCATAGTAAAGCAGCTGCTCACTAAATGCACAAAATTCTTTTCAATTATTGATTCAGGTTGTGTGTTCACACTGGAGGAGACTATTCATTTATCTGTGTACAATGGACCAGATTCGGCACATTCATCGGCGTTACAGACAGTCAGTAAAATAGGTGTAAAGTGACCCTCTGGGACCAGATATATTACCGAATGGTACTTTTTGTGTCTATTAAACACTCTCTTTCTCTAGTTGAACTATAACTTCTTTTTACTCAGTGTATACGCCTATGTACTTAAGATATTTACCCGCTAACGGTGCACTGATCAGAACTCCGATTCCGTCGGGAACTAACGTCATAATCATAACACCTTTGGTGCCATACTGCCCGTGGAACAGTTCAGCTGCAGCTGTAAATTGTGTTGCATAGACGCTTGACCGTAGAAACCCAGAAACTGGAAGCCATTACAAACAAACAAACAAACAAGCAAACATAAGACGACCAAACTAAACAGTGTGAATCAAACATTTCCACTGACGTTACAAATTTGTGTGACTTAGTGTTTTTAATAGACTCTCAGATCAAAACAATGGAAATGTTTGACGGTTTCAAGAATTTTCGTTGGAAGTCAATGCCAGCCAACATGTGGCGACCATTCCCCCCGAAAGACACAAAATTGTTTTCATGTGCATATATTCTATCGTTTTGCTTCATCAGCGCGCGAGTGGCAAAAATGTTGAACCTCCTACCACATCATGATTCCCTCATGAATAACGCGTATGTTAAAGAGAATAGGCCTATACAAGAAAGTGTGGATTCGTAATTTAAGAATTCACGAGGCGCGAAGCGCCGAGTGCATTCGTAATTTAAGAATCCACACTTGCGAGTGTATTCTTCGACTTAAACCACTGCGTCAACAGACGTATTGGAAAGAAATGTTGCAACCTAACGCCACTTTTTTCTTCATATATCATCTCAATGAAGGTCATTCGTTGCAAAAAATGATGATAAGACATGGATCTGGGACTGAGAAATGTTTCCAATTTGTTTGGAAATACTTGAAATGACTCTCCATAGACTTTGTACACAAGCGCGGAAGTGCATGGCGTCAGGTTGCAACATTTTTCCTGGCGTGTTTAGCATATCGCCACACCCGTACAGCCAAGTCATTTGTGTGTATAGGCCCCTTACGTCAAAATGGATAGTTCAGACGACGATTCCTTTCTGACTAAAAATAGTTTTTTGCAGTGACGGCGGAGAATCTGACAGTGAAGATGCATTGGTAATTTTCGGAAAGCAAGTTTTCACGCAGACGGTCCTATTCATGCTCATTATGGAGAACAATTGCCCGACGTGTTCAAAGTGAGGATTCGTAATTCCGAATCCACACTTTACTAAAGATTCGTAGATCCGAATCCACACTTTTAACAATAGTGTGACGTCATAGCAATGGTTTAATACATAATTATCACACAGTGAACAGTGCAAGTTTACAGGCTGTGAACGTATTTTTTCCGGGGTATTTACATTTCTCGATTGGAATACAGCTCACTTACTTGTCCTGCCTTTTTGTTGTTAACGGGTAGAATAGGTCATTTGTTATGCATTTGTTTCGTTTGGAGTAACAAGTACTCAAATCTAAAGACGGCCGGGTGCTTAACAACTAACCTGATGAAGTATTAGCTCTGTGTGAATATGTACATTCCCAGAAAACACTAATCTAGGATCTCGATTTCAAAAAGAAGAAGAAAAGAAATAAATTGCCCGAATTCCGA